CGGCAGAACATGTTTGGAAATAGAACAAATGACAGTCTGTGATACACACACAATTACAGGGTGGTCCGCCACACAAGGTTCTTGTGTCTGGCTAGCAACTACAAATATTCATCATGCTCAAGATGGTAATTATTTCCTTGTTGTGCGAGGCTCTGTAACACAAACTATTCAAGGTTTGGAAAAAGATCAGAAGTACAGAGTCGTATTTTATACAAGTCATTTACCCTTTTCATCATCTGTTATAGCCAACAAGGAAGGGTTTATAAACATTGATGGAACCAGGCATGTCTTCCTTTTGTATAATAAGGTCCACAGGCAAGACAACAGGCACACATTTCAAACTATTATGATATGGCATCAACATACATTTTTCTTCCAAGCTCAATCACCAGATATTACTATAGAGATTGGGAGCACGGATCGGTCAACAGGGATAGCTCTGGATAGTGTCCAGGTTCAGAAAAACATTCTTCGCACTGACCCCTCCATGGACAAGAATTATCACGTGCAAGCACACGCAGTATTTGTTCACGATTGGACTTCGGTTCACGCCTCCTGGGACTTTGTTGACCCTGACAGTCCCATTGTCGACTACAGCTGGGCAATAGGTAAGAAACATTTATTTTACTGACAAACAAACTAACGAGTTTGTATTGAAATAAATTGTTTATATGACAAAGAATTTATTGCTATAGCATATTAAAGGGTAGGAAAAAAACTTTTTTAATCTTGCAGACATGTATTTAACATTAAGATTTGACATTTAGGCTTTATAATGTTTACTTTTATGACAGTAATGTGGTTATTTGCCTAAATAGCATTGCTTTTGATACCACCGTTTCTTATTTAATATTTTGCAGTGACAATGTCGCCGTTATTTTAATGAATCTCAGTTTAGAATGAAGAAATTTATATTCTCCATTGTTTGTAGGTTACGTAGTCGGTGGATCACAACTGCAGGATTTCCGTTCTGTGGGACTGAGAACGTTTGCCTTCAACAGTTCTCTGAAGCTGAAGCATAACTCCAAAGTACATGTGACGGTTGTAGCTACCAATGCTGCTGGCTTGAAGTCAGTATCATATTCCGAACCGATCATCGTGGATCTTACACCACCAGTTTTGGAAGTCATCAATGATGGCAAAGGTTTATTATTATTATTATTATTTTATTATTATTATTATTATTATTATTATTATTATTATTATTATTATTATTATTATTATTATTATTATTATTATTATTATTATTATATTTCGTCTCTGACCAAATTTCGCAGCCTAAAGCAAAAGGTACAAATCATATTAAATATTTCTTTCTTATCAATGCCAATGAGCCTAACTTTAACTGGGCCACTTGATTAACGCTTTTATTAAAATTAAGTTCTCTCTCTCTCTCTCTCTCTCTCTCTCTCTCTCTCTCTCTCTCTCTCTCTCTCTCTCTCTCTCTCTCTCTCTCTCTCTCTTTCTCTCTCTCTCTTAATAGTACGTGCAGTTGAGGATGGTCTGTTTGATTTGCAAGATCTCTTAACTATACTATTTTCATATTTAGGACTGGACATTGATTTCCAGGACACATCAGTTATCATTGCCAATTGGGATGTGAATGATCCAGAATCTGGAATCAAGGAATGCAAGTGGGCAATCGGTAAATTTCAACATGAAATAACAAAATTATTGAGTTTCATGTTATGAAATTGAAACGAGGGTTTTGTTAATACAAATATTGAGGGAAAATATATCTAAATATTGAATTTCAACGAATAAATATGTTGCTTCTATTCCTTACAACATGATGTTGAGGTAAAACGACGACATTTGTACATCAGTGTGATTCCACATATTTTGAGGAGTTATTAATATTCCTTATATAATTATACAGTTTGAACCATCCATTTCAATTTTGTTTCTGTTCTTAAGTTGTCTGTATGATTCTTTTCTATTTTTATTCCTGAGTGCAAATTAATGAAACTTTGTAAATATGCCACCTTTGGTAACTGTATGAGTAGATCATCCTAACAACACACGACATGAAGATACATGATTGTTTGATGGAACTTGCATTATGACACCTGGTCACTGTGTGTTGGTGGAGGTATTTCAGTGAAGGAGGGCTTTGTAATATGCAATTGAAACCGTGAGCGAACTTTGCACTGATAAACAACTGAAGATGTTATAGTTTACTTTTGTTGTTTTTTTTTTTTTGCAAGGAACTGCACCGAGCAAAACTGATATACAGAACTTTACTAAAGCCGAGCATGGAACCTGGACTTTCGCTCAACAATTTCAAATCGATGATATCGGAAACAAAACGATGTTTGTGACCGTTCGATGTGAAAATGGCGCCCGCTTGGTGTCGTCACGGTCGTCAGATGGTGTTCATGTCTTCCGGTCACTGCCATCAGCAGACAGTTTGGAGATAAGTGTCATGGGTACGTCAAAAAGCGTATACATCCCACGTGACTATTTCCATGCAGATGAATCAGATGTTCGCGTCCGATGGAGTGGGTTCAAAGATGACATTGGAATAGAAATGTGCGAGGTATTGCATTGAAAATTTTATTGCATTGTATATAAATCAATTTAAAATAAAATTGTTAAATACTTTAAATTTTTATTAAACATGCTGTATGTTCCAACAATAAAAAAGATAAATACATCTCGCATAGGATTATGTGATAAGCTTTAGTTTTCTATTATGAAACACTTCTACTTCTCAGGTATTTGCGGAATCTCACCTAACATTAGGTGTTATATTATGAAGACCATACCATCATGACTGTTGCAATGTTGTCTATCGTTTTAAGTTTCGAAATTGATTTATATGAATCTAATTATTTTGACAGTTTTCCAGTTTGGTTCAAATTTTGAAGTTCCGTTTCTAAATCTCTAACAACTTGATTAACATTTTTAAGCTTTTAATTCTTCATTGGTAGTAATGACCGCGATTACTGCGCAATGAAAATTTTATATAGTTTGATATGGCCTCTCGTAAGGAGAGAGAGAGAGATCCTCATGAATGTATGCAAATGAAAGGATACATTAATTTATGTCGATACGAAAATTAATACGTGTACTGTTTCCACTTTGATCTCAGTAGTCTTTTTGATAATGTAGTCACAAGAATAGAATCAGACGTGTTACACAGTTATAATAATTATATCGACAAGGAATCGAAACTGAGCCCGTTGTAACCTCACCGATAGCCAACTTCTGATGCTAAGGTGATGTCATCAATTAGATAAGGTGTTCATTCCTGAGAAAAGATAAAATAATGTCGTAAGAAATGGCAGAAGGCGCACGACAAACAACCTGCCACGTAAGCGTTGATCATCGGTCAGATAAATGCACACTCACTGTATTTAGAAAGTTATGGCATATTCCTACAATTATCATTATACACCGACACCTATCTACAACACAGGTTACACTTGAAGGCCCTGGCACTGAAGTTAAGGAGTTTGTGACAGTGGATACCAAGGGTTACATGTGTACAGACTTCAAAGGACTTCACTTAAAAGATGGATTGTATCAAATATCTGTAACTGGCATCAACAACGTCAAAATGAAAACAGAGACAAAAATGGGGAACTTTACACTGCTTACGAAGCCACCCTTCAAGCACGGTAATATAATTTTTAAAGAAAAATCTGTTTAAATTTTGCAACAATTGTAAAATATTCTAAACGACATTTTACTGTAATCCTTCTATGAGATATTCAACATTTTGTGTCTGTAATGTTTTACATAAAGTTTTTTTTTAGTTGCTCTAATAGATAACCAAAAGAATGCTAGTTGTATGATAGATTGACGCATCTCTGTTTGAGGTATTTAAAATTGCTTTTTTGAGAAGCTTTTTTACATGGAAACTTTGCGATGTCAACATATCTGAATGAATGTAAATTACTTTTTGTATTTGTTTATCCTGCTCCTCAATGTTTACTTAGAAATATTTTTGTATGAAGTGATCAATATGCAATCAACGAAATTCATAAAAACACACGAATGTAACATAGAACAGTTTTTTTTCTTCAGTGACTACTCTGATCAAGACTCTTAATATTTGTGAATGTGAGACTATAACTTACATACAGTAGTGAAAGGTATTCTCTTGTATGCACTTTAACGTATAAGGATTTTAATGTGAGACTATAACTTACATACTGTAGTATAAGGTACTCTCTTGTATGCATTTTAACTGATGATTTGAGATGAGAAATGTAAAATGTGAATTGCATTTATATATGTGCGAGAATTAAGTTTATTTTTCAGTGAGCTTTAAATGTAATTCAAATGAATAAATTGAGTTTAAAAAAAAACAACCCAAAACAAATCTATCGTACAATTTCATGCAGCTAGGATATCTTTTTGGTTTTGTTCCTTTAGATGGCAGAACACTTTCTCTTAGTTGGAATCCCTCGGATGGATCCGTGACAGTTAGTTGGGACTCTCTATTTTACTCTAAATACCAATTGCAATACGAAGTGTCGGCGGGAACTGTCCAGGGAGGCTCTGATATTATTCAATGGCAGGAGACCAGGGAAAACCAGCTCGTATTCTCCTTTGACAAAGAGGTGATTGGTCCAGCAGGAAAGGATGTCTTCGTTAGCGTTCGTGCGATCTCTCCAAGTGGACTGTATGAGACTGCCAACGCTCAAATTCTTTTGACATATTAACCTCAACACTCCACATAATATGTTGTATATGTCACTATACAGAAATAGGATAGTGTAGCAGACTCGAAGATATCTGAGTATTTTTAGTTAATAGATGTCATATACATTCCGTCCTTTTTAAGCAATCGTTTAGCATTTTCTTGTGATAACACATCGGTAATATGTAACACTAAACAATGTAAACAAATTACCTTTGCTTCTATTTTGTTGTAGAATCACTGGTAAACTACTATCTTTATTAAAAGTGTGCCTTATCTTTTGATTGTTTTTATTTTCGAGCTCTAAAAATATTTCACATATACATACATCGGTTCAATCATACAAGACCGCTCCGGTGGTTTAGCAGTAGGAACGTTCGTCTTGGATGCGAAAGGTTGTAGGTTCGATCCCCGGTCGAGTAATACTAATGACTTAATAAAGGGTTTTAATAGCTAGCTGCCTCGCTTGGCCCTCAGCATTAAGAGATTAATGTTAGGACTGGTTGGCCTGGTGTCAGGATAATGTGGCTTGGTGGGACATCATGTCACATGTCTGCCGCAGTGCTAGACATTACTATAAATTGAAACACTGAAGACATCGTAGCGATATGACTGAACATTTTTTAAAGCTTTGTTAAAATCCAAATCACACACACACACACATACACACAGACACAGACACACACAATCATACAGATACACGTAAACATATATATCAAGTTTCGGAAAATTATGTTTAAAATCTCTAAAACCCGATAAAAATGTATAAGACTTATTGCAACTTCAACAAAACGACATAATATATTATTCTGTGTGATGGGTAGTGGTGAATCCTCTATGTCATGCAACAACTTTCCTCTACGTTTCTATTACCGGAAAACTATAGTGAAAAAAGTCAATCGCGATACTCTTAGTGCAGTGTTTAGCTTACTTGAGGCAAAATGGGTATACGCCTTTTGAAGACGAAACGTGCGGCATTTCATGTTGCTCATGCAATGTTTTCACTGTGTGTCTGTTCGCCATTAGGTGATTTCCTCCACACATATGCAGCGGTTTGGAGATCGTGCAGGTTTAACAAATGGGTGCCAGAATCTGTATGACTTCTTATGATGTGCTCAGGTATCGAAGGCTTAAAACTAGATGCTAGAATCGTTTGACTTAATACAGATGTATCCACAATTAAACTTGATTTTTCGTTGAAAATTAGTATATACCATTCCAAGCAGAACCTTTTCAAATAATGTACGCCCTCACAATGACATATTTATTAGTTATCTTCTCCATCTATTATTGAATATATATGAATTTGGATCCTCCAAGCCAAGATATTTCCTATATTGCTTAGTTGTCATACTCACAACTTACGACTGGTCAGTTATTCAACGCCATCCAATTAAACATTAGCAGATTTCAATGCGTTCGAATTCTGAGATAATCGGGCCAAGTATCTGACTAGAACAAGGTAAGACAAACTGACGGAGACAATTTCACTATGACGTATTAGAACTGGGCAGCTGTATATTATTTTTGTTCTAATCAATTTTGCAAATCGTACATTTCTCTTATAGGGGAATTGCAGTCTTTCTCCTGTCTCATGAGAGATGTGTATGAAAGAGAAAGTCTTGCAAGGTCATATACCGCTTTTCAATTAATTTTGAAGATAACAATTTACTGAACATTTAGACCAGTCAGCATCTAAGATGACAATTCAAGTCAATAGTTTAGGATGTGCTTTATTTTAATTCATATTTGGCACTGGTGACTTCGATTATTTACAGATGAAAAATGTAGTACTCGTACAGTAATCTATTATTAATTGTCTTGCAAAATACTATGAATGAGATGACAGGCTCCGAACTAATCAGCCTACTTCGGCAAAGTGACGGTGTTGGATAAAAAAAAAAAAAATAAGTAATAAAAAAAACATCAAAAGCAAACCTAGGAAAGAAACGAATCCTCTATTTAAAAAAATTCTAAAAATTCACTTTATAATGCATCTGCAGATATAATTTCGTAGAAAGAAAGGTTCAGTTGCTTTCTAACAGCAGTGCTGTGTGAAAAATTATTAAGCTGACGTAAGAGACTAATAGGATCAAAAGACAATTTTTATTTTCATATATACATAATGTAATTTCTCTGGATCCTCTCATATTGCAATCTTATAGGGCGTGAAGAATTCTGAGGGCATTGAACTTATCGACATCGAAGGTTCTGAGCAGATAGATTATCCCAGCCACTTTTCAATTTTTTTAAATTTTCAAATACTCCTGACTTAAGTAAGACCGTCCCGTTATTACCGGGTACAATAATGGAAAATACCTCCCTATTCAGCGGTATAACTCCCAAACCTATCATACTAACTCTTATTTTTTCTGTATCATACCTTAGTTATTAAAATATTTAATTGTTTATATATATATATATATATATATATATATATATATATATATATATATATATATATATATATATATATATGTGCAATAAACTGACGACGAACAGTACGAAACTAGTAACTAACTAGCCTAAGCGCTTTCGACTCTTAATGAGTCTTTTTCAAAGGCAAATACAAAACATATATACGATAAACAAATAAACATAAAAACGTTGTGTTTGTAAACCTCTACATGGCTGTCTTCACATGTCCTAAAACTATAAATACAACCAGCTTGTATAGACTAGATGCGGAAACTGAAAACGTTGTATAATTCCCTAAAAGTCTACAAGCCAAAGCGACATCTATTTTTACTTTTTGTACATATGTAACGCAGATTATATCCCGGATATTTAATTTTATACCGGTTATTCTTATAGTAAAAATTGAAGGATAATAAGAAGATTTAGAAAATGTTAAATTTTACTAGTGCATAGTTTTCATTTTCTAGTCTTCTTGGTTTAGACCGCTTGGTTTCAATGTTCTAAGGCGGCGTATCCAGTATGATTCCTTTTCCTTCCTGGTTTCGGAACTCCAGCTGTGGTTGTTAGCAATAGTGATAAGTATTATATCACTGAAAGTGTGGCCAGGGGAGGAGAAGTGTTCTGCGACCGGGCTTCTGTACAGCTTTTTTGTCATCCAATCAGATCTATGAAGGTTTATCCTTTTGTGTAGCTTTTCAGTTTCTCCGACGAACTGAAGGCCACAGATCTTACGTGTGATGAGATAAATCACATTCTCTGTTTTGCACGTTTTGTTTGGACCATGTATGTTTAGTTTAGTTGAACACAACAATAATACAAATGATTCTGCTAGATCTTAAAGCACGAATGAATAATCTTTCCAGTGACATGATTACAGCCGTCTACTTGACCTCGCATCACCATTAACATTTTCTAAAAACACTATTAGCCGATGAAAAATAACCTTCTAGAAAGTAGTTCTTAATGTGTACAAAATTATACATTAGTTATTATTAGAAAGTTTGTTACTAACAATGTACTATATAATACATGGAAAATGTCAGGTACACCAGGTAAATTATATGGGAATCCCAATAACCCAAACCGAGACCCAAATAAACATTTACTTCTATTAGTAATGATCCTAATAATAAACCATACACACAAAGAATATCTTAGCTATGTTTCAGTTGTTTGCAGAATAAAATAAGCAATCAATAATTCAGGTCAAGTAAAAAATAAACTCTAATTTGGACATGGTGTCACAGAATTGTATAAATGTATTACTTTATTAAGTAAATGTACTCGGGTTTCGTTTTTCATGTATGAGACACATTTCAAAGTAAAGTTTAATTATTTAGCAAAGGCCTAAATGAGGGTATGTGATATGTAGAAAAAAACATTAACTATGTACACATTCAGAATATCTATATTTGATGGAAAATATACACTATATTCAATTTTTGTGGTCACAAATTTATTTTCCACCCATTTTGTCCTTTTGGTAACCATGAACACACTTCAATTTCACCTACATTTTTAGTGTTTGCAATCTGTATGCATATGTGCATCACTTTGTACAATTTCATAGCAATCTGATTTTAAGTAATAGTTCTGAGTTGTCATATAGATTTGGCCCCAAAAGTCTGTATTGTTCTGAAACAAATCAGAATGCACAGATGTTGCAGTTAGAAACAAATCAACACTTGTTTCAAAGGTCACGCAAAACAACACAGTACTACCAGGATAATGTCTCTCTAATTTTGATAACACCAGACAAATCATTTACACACACACACACACATACACACACACACACACATACACACACACACACTGAGCTATTTAATAGAGCCCTAGACAAACATTCAATGCACATCTTTGGCTACACAAAACCACTCTCTCAAGTGCTACTGCAAAGCTGTCAAAACCCAGAAATGTGTTATGTCAGACTGGTTCCTTCTTTGTCAAGCACACACAACCTGCCCCAGTTGAATCAAATATAATAATGGGATTGCAAAGAAAGGCTGCAGCACTCAGCAACCAGAGTGGTTTATTTACCAGTCCACATACTATTTCACAACAAGATTTCCATGTAATGTATCATTGAACTAGTAATAGCAATAATTGCCATATTTTCAGGAAAAAAAATATAATTTTCCATTGAAGTCATGAATCAGAAATTTCCTGATGTCATCTATACTTCCATTAAAACTGAACCCAGAAGGCATATTGTACTACACAGTAATGAATCATTGCTTACCACAGAACATTTTCCAAATTACAACTGATGAAAGTTTCAACTTAACTGTATAAAAGATATTAATTATTTATTGTAAACATCATGTGATATCCATAAATGAAATGTGATAATACAGTCACAATATCAAATGACTTTGTGTCTGTTTTCTTTTGCCTATAACTTGTGTACTTAGGGTCAATATGTCACCCCAATTCACTCATTAGCATATTTATCTTAATGTGCAGAATCAAAAAAGCAAGTGGCTCAAAAAGCTCAGTGTGCAATACTTCAGATGCATAACAGTTACATTTTCTTGATTAATTTTTTCTTTACTAATAGCAGCATATCTTAGTCCTACTTTGAAAATTATTCAGATTTTAATAAAAGTATATAAAACCTGGTGACCATTATACAGAGAAGTAATAATAGTACCTGATGAATACTGAGTTTTGAATCTGCTAACTAAATTGCAATGGTGCAGGTATATTTTAAATTAGTTTGGAAAACAATTGGGTTAGAAAAGTAAACTCTATTTGTACCAAGATGGGAATTCCCAGTCGTGGGACTAAACTGTCTCCCCACGAGGCATAATATAACCCCTTGACTGTGATTTCCTTGTCTCAGTCCAAACCCAAACATAGATTTTATTAGACACAGTTGTATATGCAGTACTAATTTCATGGCAGTTTTGTATATTGTTAGAGATTGCATAGTGACATTATGTATAAAAAAAGTTTATAACAAACCTAACAATGACCCACTATTTCAAGAAAATATTATATCC